TATATTATATTATATTATCCGTTAAAGAAAGTAATATTGTTTTGATTTAATATGGATTTTATTAAAAAATATATATATAATTTATTAATATTAAAAAAAAGTTAATTAAAAAAAATTATTTCTATTTTAGTAACAAGTCGTAGCATAACTCCTCGTGGGAAAAAAGCGGCTTTTGGGTGGTTGACCGAAGACCGAAAGAGTGTGAGGAAGGATGCTTTTCCTCGTGAAGAGAAATTCAACAAACCCCACGCGCTTCATAAAACCTCACGCGCTCTCTCATCATCATCATGATCATCATGTTCTTTGTTTCCCAATCCATGGGTCCCATTCCATGCACGTGTGCCCCTTCTTGTCATTTTACCCCTATATTATTATTATTATTATTATTATTATTTAATTATTTAATTAACTCATTATTAATTACTAATTACTGCTTCTTTATTTATTAACAAATTATTTGATTGGTTTATATTAATTTCGTATGAATAGAAGGAAAAAAGAAAAAGAAAAAAAACTTGGTTTTTTACATAATGTTTTTCTTTAAAAATTTATTGAATAAGTCATTAATAAATTACTATCAAACTATTGGTCCTGGAAATTAATGACTTTCCAAAGGAAGTGTTTGTAAAAAAGGTTTGAATACAAATACAACAAATTTTCACTTTTAATTTTATATTTTGTATTAAAATAAAGAATTACATATTTGTTGTGTAAGTTAGAAAGGTAAGACATGATCATAAACGATCTGACTGGTGGTAAATTTGCAAACAACTGAAAAAGTGAGAGGAGAGGTACTCTTTCAGATCTGAAGTAATTAGATAATCTTTTCAGATTGTGACGTCAATTTTGTCTAAGAAACTATCACTCAATAGTGAGGTATACCGCGAAGATATGAGTAACCAAGTTTCTTGCTTAGGAATTTCCTTCTGTTAGAAGCTAGAAAGAGGAATTGACCTCGAAACTATATGGTTTAGCGACTACCTCCGTCGAGTTATTTGTAAAAACTACGGTAGAGTTGTTTATAGATGTCCCTCCTTACGTTACTTTAATTCGATGGGGATGGACGGAATAGTAGTATAACGTAACATTTTTTTCAAAACTGGTAAGTTGCAAATATATGACAACGATTACCTTTTTTTATAGTCACCATTGTATTAAATGTTGTTTGACAACTTTAATGTGTGTCTTTATCTGATTTGTTGATCCATGCATACTTGTACTCTACATTTCTGCTTTTGAAGTTGATGTAGATACTTTTTAACTGAACTCATCCTTCTGTATGCACAGGAAACAGTAAGGGAAGTATGATACTACTAAAATAGTGCTTTAAAACTTACTTTAGCTGACATGATAAACATATTCCGATACTAAGATGAGAGTTGATAGAGTTTGTGAGCAAACTGGCTGGATAAGTTTGCACTCTAAATTCGGTTTGCCAGAATTATTATGTCAGACTACTATTTGACTTTATCTTGTATTGATCTTCTTTTAACTAGATGACGATCCAATCCGCTTTGTTGACGATCTTGACCTCACTTCAACTAGTATTCGATTTTGTTGAAGGTTTTTGTTTTTGGATCAATATAAATAGTTACAAGACTTTTACAAATAAAAATCTTATCAATCTATTCCAAAATATAAGTTATAGATTGAATTCCAGCTTAGACTATTTATAAGGTAGGAACATCAGATGCTAATAGTAACTTAAAGTGTTTATGGGTTCTTGAGAATCAAAACCGAATGATCATGTTAATGGATTAACCAGATTCTTCAACCAGATGAAGAATTTATCAAATCTGATATTTAATCCCAACATACGATCTAAGATATAAATCTAAAGGTACCCTAAATATGAAACTTTGAGTGAGTAAATTCCTTTGTAATGATAGTTCGAATGTCAATCTTTTTCTCAGATCCAATAAATATTACAAGACAAGTGTAAAGATTTTTTCTTCCAAGTGTTGAATCGGATTCTAATGGTGCTAATTATAAATCCGACGGTTGAGACCAACACAAACAATTCATATATAGAACCACAAAGGTGGTGCCTGATTGGTTTGAACTTGGCTCCAAAGGTCAAAAGTACCAGGAGGTCCCAAGTTCAAATCCAATGAGGAATAAAAATCCCCTTGTGGCTACGGAGGTTCAAATGCGGTGACTCCGGGCTATCTGCAAAGCAGGTGGTCATCCTGGGATTAGTCAGCTCGCATAACGGGTTGGATATCCAGGTTAATAAAAAAAACAATTCATATATAGTTGACCAAATAAGTTGTGAGTCTCATTAAGCTAATCAAACTGCTAACAAACCGACTCTAAGAGAGTATGTGTGTAATTCAACATAATACATTTTTATTTTGTTTTTTTTTAATTCATTTAATGATTTTTTGTGGTTTTGAAAGAGTGATAAAGTTTTATGCCAGTTATCAGTTTTATACTATATTTTGTCTTATTAATTATACTTTAAGAAATATAAATATTTATAAATCACAATTATTTAATATTTAAATTTTCATAAAACTATGATGGTCACAAGAAAAACATATACGAAATGAGATTATATATATACAACATTTCGGACATGTCTTCTTCATGATGCTAAATTAATAAATTATTTATAATTTCTTACGATTTATTTATACTAGAAGCATACTCGCGCAATGCAGTTAGATACATCGTGATTTTAATATTTCATTTTATTTTTTATCTTAGTTGATGTTATAATATGTCTTTATGTGATTTTGAGAAAGCGGATGTTTAACATGTATTTGATTATGTTTATCTGCAGTTAGTTACACGAATTCAGATATGGAGCTTTAATAAGTTGTACCTACGCAGAATATACTTGTAATCTTGAGTTTTAAGTAATATGTATTAATAAACAGTACTTTACGCATAAAAAGTGGTTTTCAAGAGTTTTTGTCAAATGATTTATAATATAGAATATATTTTTTTATATATAACTTAATTTAAGTTTAATAATAAAACAATTTATTTTTGGTTTAATATTATAAATTTTATAAAGATAATAATTAAGTATTCTGTTAAAATTTAATGATTATACTAATTATATTTTAGATTTTTTATATTTAAAATGAGATGTTTATCTTGTATTTGATTGTGTTTATCTGCAGTTAGTTACACGAATTCATATACGAGATGAAATTGGATAGGGATGAAATCGTTTAGGGATGAACGAATTAAGAGTTTTAAGAGTTTTAAGAGTTTTTAAGAGTTTTAGCCAAATGCTTTATAAGATAGTATAGATTATGAGAATTAGTCGAAATATCGTGTGAGAAGCATAAGAAGAGATCTAAATACTTATGACTCATTTGGTTTATAGGATTGTTTTTTAGAGATTTGAATTTGGATTTGGAGGGATTTGGATTTGAAAATCATTGATGTGTTTGGTTTCTAGGATTTGGAATGGAATTGGATTTTATTATTTATAAATAATTTATAGAAAAATTTATAAATAAATATTAAAATAATTGAATTATATTTTTATTAATCGATTGTTACAAAACAAATATTTTTAAAATAATTTAAAACCTTATTGCATACATTACTAAGAAATCCCGAGCACTCGCTAAGGATTTCAAAATCCTATTTTTGAAAGGTTTCAATTAAATCATAGGATTTCAAATCCGGACAATCCAACAAACCAAACATGGGATTGGAATGGATTTGAAATGCAAATCCCCACAAATCCATCTCATTCCTTCAAACCAAACGAGACTTTAATCAATTTTAATCTTATGTTCACTCATGAATTGGGTTTAAGAAGGGAATTGATCCAGTGTATCTCGGTGCACCTCATTAGTGTTAACATTCAATTATAATTTATCCAAAGATGAAAATCTCTTCTTACGTTTCTCACCATAACTTTCTTTATTACCGGAACCCAACCCATGAAAATCAGTTCTATTTATTTGACAGTTTAACACTTAAAAGGTAAGAGTTTGAGGGATAAATGTGAAGTCATGTTCTAGAACACTTATGTGGTGGTGCTCATAATGTG